AAAACACGCTTCGCTTGAAAAAGGGCAACAATTCGAGTCAGGAAATAAAAAAAGGAGTCAAGGTTTATTACTAGTCTTTTAACTGCAGACCGAGCTTATCTTCGACGCACATCGAGTACGAAATCAACTTTATTTTATTTGTGTTCGTGCTATGTGTATACTGTTTTTGTTTAACTTGAAGCTGACTTAAATGCGTGGGCCAACTAATCTCCTTATTCGGTAGCAAAGTATAGAATAATGTTCACTGTATATAAACAAAGGTGTGACAATAATTTTAAGAGTTAGCCACTCTTTTAAAATTAAGCTTGTTCAAGGAAATATTACATAATGCTTTACTGTTTTAGAGTTTCTTTCAGTAGTGTTTTTTTTCGATGTTTGTCAGAGAGTTGAGAATCTCAAGTATTTTTTTACAGCTCAAGAAAAATTGATTTATTATGCACTATTGAATTGATAAAATATTGCTTTGTAGTGAGTAAGGTTAAAATTCTTTTTTCGTATCCATTGGTTTGTTTTGTGTATTTCAAACAATTAAATAAGCTGGACCTTCGCAAGAAAAATTCAAAATCGAGATAACCACTGTGAAAATGATGAGTAAATAAGTTGCCAGCATATATTTGTAATTCGCGAGGCTTGGTACGCCGAGTCGACGTGTAGGTAGGCGGTGACTGAACGTTGAATGATTTTACGAGCAGTCACGTTCTGAGAATGGATTTGCAAATCGGTTGAAACGTACTTGAGTAGAAGACAAAGATTACTAGTAGTTAGATGATCGAAATTCTAAAGAATTCAGTTATTGCTTGAAATTACACGTGATTGTTCATCCTTTATTATTTTATAGATACATAGTCCACTGATTTTGCAATTTCATTATTAAAATTTCATTGGCAAAGGGCTTGAAAAATATTTTTATAAAGGTTTTTTTATTGAGGAGAAAAATTTGTACACGACATTTTTCATTTTCGTATACAAAACTCCAAATAACTCTAGAGATCTCTGGAGTTTTTTCTAAATAGACACTACGATTTTATAAATGGCTACTAATATAAACTAACTGAATTTTTAATATTGATAAACTAATTATAATAAATATAATTCTTCTATCTAAGATAATAAAAAGAGGATGTACTGTGAGTACATTTCATTCTTAATTTATATTGTTAGAAATTTTCAGAATTTTTTTATAGTCTATATATGAGCAGTTTTTTCATATATGTACAACTTTTGTGCGGGGGGTTCTCGGATCTGCCCCAAAATTTAGTATGTTATTTGGGTATGTGAAAATAGCCTTCAGGTAAATTTTTAGCCCTCTAGGGGCCTTAGGGCCCAAATTTGGGCCCATCGAAGGTCCAAAAATAGCCGTTTTTACCTATTTTTGCGTATTATTCAAATATTTGTAACTCGGGCACCGATGCATATTTTTTAACTCTGAGGGTCGCATTTTTTAGGTCAAGACATGTACTTTTCGTAAAAAAATTATGTAGAGCTCGATAGACCAACCCCCGGTTATGGGGGGGCAATGAAGGGGGATGAAAAATCGCAAAATTGACGTTTTTTAGCTTTTTTTGAATTGATGCAGAAGGCGACTGGATTGACGTATTTACTTTTGCAACGTCTCAT